CAGAGAGCCCCCTATCCTGCCCCCACTGTTCCTGCCTCCATGCCAGAGCCCCTCCCCACCCGAGCCTGGGGCAGGCATGTGGGTTTTGAACCATCCCAAATGGGCGATGAGCCCAGTGGTATTAACAGGGCCCGCCCCTCCAGGCCGGTCTAGATGCCCCCCCCCCGTCTGGGCTGCCAGGAGCCCTTGCTCACTGCACCAAGCGCACGCACTTGAAACTCCCTGAGATCAGGATCTGTATCCAGTTCCTCTTTATACCCGCAATGGCTAGTACAAGACCTGGAACAAAATATTTGTGGGAAAAACAAATGAAGAAATAAACCACATCATGGACTAAATGAGTTTGGCGAGGCCAGCCTGAGAACCAACCTCATATGCTACCCTGGGAGTTAGTATCAAACTAAAGCACAAAGAAAGGAGGTTTTAAAATGGCACAAAATAGTAAAAATATATATGGGCATATGTGTTTGTATGTAAGTACACAAGCATAGAGAAAGCTGGGGGGAAAACATACTGAGTTATTAACATAAATGGCAAAAAAATGAGTGCCAGAAAGAAGGGAGACAAAGATAAAAAAAGAATTAAAAGAAAAAATCTCCAGTATTTATAATAGAACCATGTACATGTATCCATGTAAAATGGGGGGGGGTGATAATTCTCTGGTAGAAGCCAAATAAGAACTAACCCAGGTAAGGAGTTGAGACAAATGTTCCCAAACACACATGCGGAGAAATGAGAACCGAGGCCAGGAACCCGGGCACCTTCATAGCGGCAGGGCTTGGACCGGGTGCTCCCCTAAAAGATGCAGGGCCCCCAGACTGCTGGCTCCGTAGGCTCAGGCTCTCCCACTGGCATGTCCAACTCTAGCCGAGGACGGGTCCAAATAAAATGGTTCACACAGCTACGCCTGCATCATATGAGCTGAACTAGTATCAACAATTACATCAGGAAAAATGTGTTTACCTTGGTTTCCCGCCACAGAAAATGGGTCCAAGATGATGTTGAACATACGCCTTTCAATCCCGCTCCTATTAGAAGGGCAAATAATTTAACAGGTGGGACTCAGAATTCCATGGTTCTGGTTTTTACTTTGTGGGGTTTTTTTCTTTGGTTTTTTTGTGTGTTTTTTTACTATGGAGTATTAAACATTCCAGTTTTGGTCAGTGGATTCTGGAAGCCTCCTTAGCAGGCCTTGGCAAGCTCCGTATATTCTGCGAAAGCCCCCTCGTGCCCCGTGGGCAGCGCGCGGGAAAGGCCGGGGTCCGGCCCGACGGTCGTGCTGTCCGCGCAATAGGTGCTTCAGCCGGGACACTGATGCTCTCGCCCCTCCAGGGCCGACCCAGACGGCGAAGCGAGAGGGTCCGCTCTCCTTTAACAAGGCAATTGGTCCAGGCTCCGTACAATATCATTTCGGTCTAGAAAGTTCGCCGTCACTGCCAAAGACATCAAACAGAAACATTACAGGACTCCCTGAGCTTTCCTTCTCCGAAGACGGGCTGGTCTGGGCCCGAGCAGGAGGGAGGGAGTCAGAGGGAGACGGGCTGTGGGGGTCCCACGGAGCATCGGCCTGATTCTCACGGCCGGATTTCCAAGCTCCACAGTTAGGAATAAAAAGTTAATCAAGTTTTGCAATTAAGGACAACCAGAAGCTTCCCCAGAGCCTACTAAAGACTCTGACCATGTATATCAGATAGTATCTGACTCAGCTTTCTCTCTCTTTTTTAAAAATGTCTTTTTTTTAAATGTCTTTATTGATTTCACAGAGAGGAAAGGAGGGGGAGAGAGAGGTAGAAACATCAATGATGAGAGAGCCATTGATCAGCTGGCCACCTCCTGCATGGCCCCTGGGGGATCGAGCCCACAACCCAGGCATGGCCCTGACCGGGAATTGAACCATGAGCTCCTGGATCCTAGGTGGATGCTTAACCGCTGAGCCACACCGACTGGGCTGACTCACCTTTCTCTTTTACTTATGTGCCCTATATGATCTTTTAATAGATTACTCGGAGAACTCCAGTGTTTACGCTAGACATCAGCTGGAAAGTATTCCAGTGCTATTCCCATACAAATCAGAGTGCATTAGTTAAGGTAACGCTAAGTGCTACAATGAACAAGCCCCCAAATATTCAACATGTCAAGCACAGCAGCATAAATAACTTGCTCACATAAAGTCCATAACAGGCCGCAGAGCCTGGTGGTGGGCTTTCTATATGGGACTAGGGAGCCCATGATCTTTCTATCAAATGCTAGGTCCTCTGCTGGGACCAGGGAGTCCACCGTATTTAGCCAGCAGTCAGGGGATCAGGGAGTGGAAACGCTAAATTCATATCTTAAAAACCTCAGCCCAGAATGATACCCAGGACTCTCACTCGGGATTCATTGGTTAGAACTTAATTACCTAGCTACTAAGAAAGCTGAGGAATATCGTCTAGCTGTGGGTTCTGAAAAGAGAGGGAACACTTCATGAAAAGCTAGCTGCTGTCTGTCACAGATGGCCAACTGGAATAATCTGTACACTAAATTCTGCTTGTGTTATAATCACCATAGTAATTGGGGAATCATGTTTCGGCCCTGTGTGTGTGTGTGTGTGTGTATGAGAGAGAGAGAGCTGGACTATGAAGACCTAGCTTCAGACTCAGACACAGTTCAATACCTGCCACCTGCCACCTGCCACAGATAATCCTGGAGTGGTGTCTCACTATAAAATTGAAGCCCAAAGTGACTCAGATACACATATGACAATCAAACTCTGAGGCAGAGAGATTGTCTAAGTAAGAAAATAGCTGCTGTGTTCCAGCTTGTTACAGGCCGCAAAGCATATCAATAATTCTCCTTTGTTCTAAAGAAACCCAAAAACCTTTTATAATAATCAGAGCAGGGATTACTGTCTTATTTTATTATCACTATTATTATTATAAGACTGGAAACTGAAAGCCTAAGTGACCTAAAGGTAAATTACAGGTGGGACTTAAACTCAAAACACAAAGGCCATTCTCCCCCACCTCAGCCCACATCAGTTCCCTAGAAAGACTTTGACTCCAGTCATCCCAACAGGCACCATTGGCTTCTTATACCGACAAAGATCATTTTCATCAGATCATTTCTAGTGCTTGTATTTAACAAGAGAAAAATCTACCACACACTGTTCCTTGTACATGATGGAATCCTGCCAAGCAAAACTCATAAATCCTAAACTTTGTTACTCCAAGTATGGGGCGTGGACCAGCAGTGCTGGATGCCCCTGGGAGTTTATTAGAAATGCAGATTCCACGACCCACCCACTGAACCCGGTTCTCTGTTCAAACAAGATCCCCAAGAGGTACTCAGGCACATTAACGTCTGAGCAACACTGCTCTAGGATACCCTTTAGTACATGAACTTAAATGCTCAGGAGAGGGGAAATGACCTAATATAAAAAGAGTTTATATAAATCAATAAGAAAAATGGGTAGAAAACAGACAAAATATAAGAACAGCTAACTCATGGAAGGCATGCAAATGGACAATAAATATAAACATAAAATGCTCATCTTCTCCAGCAATTTGGGAAATGCAAATTAAAACAACAACATATTACCATTTTTACCAATCAGATTGTCAACACTTTTAAAGTCTGATAATTTTCTAATTGAAACCACATTGGGAAAAGTGCATTTTCTTACACTTCGGAAGCTTAAATGGTTATTCTCTCTTTGGAAGACAATTTTTCAACACCTATCTTTTTAAGTTTCAAAGATTTTGACAAAAAATTTCCATTTCTATAGAAATTCCAGTCTATAGAAATAACTGTTAAAGTGTCAAAGACACTTCATTACTCCATTTGAACTGTGAAATATGAAGGGAATCTAAACATGCACCTATAAGGAAATAGTTTAATAAATTAGCCGTATCCATAACAGGGAACTATGCAATAATTAGAAAATTTAGTGTCATAAAAAATGTCCATGGCACATCACTGAATGCATAACAAGTTATGGAATAGTAACATAGTATGACCTCATTCCTATATTTTAAAACCATTTCAGACAGAGGTGTGGATATTTGTTAAAACTCATCAAACACTAAACTCAAAATCAATGTATTTTATTTTAAGGAAATTATACTTCAATAAAATCGATTAAAAGAACTGCATGTGTAGCCCAGCCAGGCGTGGCTCAGCGGCTGAGCATTGACCTAGGATCCAAGAGATCGCGGTTCGATTCCCAGTCAGGGCTCATGTCGGGGTTGTGGGCTTGATCCCCAGTTGGGGGAGTGCAGGAAGCAGCTGAAAAATGACAACTCTCTTCACTGATGTTTCTCTCTCTCTCTCTTTCTCTCCCTTCTTCTCTCTGAAATCAATAAAGATTTTTTTTTTTAAAAAAAAAAGAATTGTATGCGTAGATGTTAGTGGATGTTATGTACATGTTTACAAACCTACAAAAATGGTCTGCAAGGAAACACAACAGACCTTTAAAAGTGGCAGAAGCCTAGGAGAGGAGATGTGAGAGAGAACTTTCTGTAGGGTCAGTATTTTTTTCAAAAAGCATGTACACTTCTTAAATTTTAAAAAGCCCAAGTTAAACATCTAAATGAAATGAATGGAGCCAGGTGCAGTAGGCCTGAGTCAATATGGAAATCCGCTCCAGCTTGGCCTTATTAATTGCATCCATGGACTGTCTAGTCCTTGTGTGAAGGTCCACATTTATAAGAATTGTCAACATCACACACCCAATTGCCAGACTTGCTCTTTATAAACATCTGCTTATTACTTCATACATAACTACTGCGCATCCTTAAACATTAAACTCTACGATAAAAACCGTACAGGAATTTGATACAATACTGAAGACATGGCTCCAGTCTGGGCTTCATCACTCTTCTCCTGAAAAAGCCTAAAGCCTTCTGCAAGAAATAGTGTAAAACATCTAAATCTGTTAGTCCAGCTTTAAAGACTCCTCTCCCTCCCTCACCATTAAGCATCAGATACCATTATTTCTCTTTATTTCCTGTCCACTCTGGTCAGACTGGCCTCTGTGCTGTCCTACAAATAACCCAGCCTTTCCCTCCACTCTGCCTCTCACCTGGGCCCTTTCTCCCCCATATTCCGTGCTCTCAGCCACCCGACAAGCTCCATCTCCCTCCCGCAGTGAGGCTGCTGCTAAGCCCCGAGGCCCTCAGTCGCCTCCCCTGCCCACATGCTGCTGTGTCGGAGAGTCTTGTGTCTATCAGGAGAAAGGGGCCATGTCTCTCTTCCCTACCTTCCCATCGTCTTGCATAGTACCAAGTACAGGAACTGTCCAACTATCAATGATTTATCACTTCATAATTTTTAAATGTTGGACAAAGGTGAGACAATGAATAGGAAAGAAGTACTTTTCCAAAAACCTGCAGAGATGGTATTTTTCCCATTTTATAGGTGGATAAACTGAGGCGTAGGGATGCTGGAAGATTTGGTGGGGCTCATACAGCTCATAAATAATAGGGCAAGTCTTCAAGCGTACTTCTGAGTGTCTCTAAAGCCCAGTCTTTTCTCTGCACCAGGCTGCCTTCCTGACTTGTCACTTAGGTGATCTTGCTGAATTCTCGCATTGCTGTCTCAAGAAGTACTTGTTGACTGATTGACGACATTTTCAGTAGCAATGTGGTCCAGTTACAAGGGTTTCCCACAGCTGAATTTGATGAAAAGCCCCTGCTGAGCTCAGAGTGGTTTAACCTGCTTCAAACTCTGCCACAATATCATCAGTCTCAAGCCCAAGACCTGTGCAATATATCTCATGAAGATGTATATACTCGCAGAGCCTGAAAATAAAATCTTAGGCAAGAGCGTTCAAGCTCCTGCCCTGGCATCTGGGCGAGGGTCCAGTGCTGGGGAGCCCACCATCCCTCAGCCTCTCGAGGTTATCTCTGGCAGTTGCTTGGCCATGGGTGGGCTGGGCTGCCTTGGACAAGCTTCTTTGGCATCATCTCCTGAGACATGGGTTGTTGTCATATGAGCAAAGAATGCTGGAGTCCACAGGAGTGTGGGGACACAGTGAAGGCAGAAGGCCATCACTGGAAACTCCAGAGTCAACAGACTGGATTCCAGGTGCAGTTCTCCATTAACCAGCAGTGTGCTCTTGGGCAAAATCCTCAACATTTCTGAGCCTGTTCCCTCGATATACTATGGGGATAATGGCACCTTTCCTGCCTACCTTTCAGGAGATTTTGAGAGGCAGAGAGATTCTATTTGTGAAAAAACTGTATAAGCCACAACCCCTACGTGTATACCATATGCTGAAGAGTAATTGTCACTGGAGGAGGTGGCATGCGGCCATGGACAAAGCACTGAGCAAAAATGTCAGGAGATCTGGTGTCTACTCCTGACTGAGCTGCCAAATCTCTTCACGACGGAACAGCCAGGATGCTCTGGACTCAGGAACCCTGTGGGTCAGAAAGACATATTTCCAAGTGCACTT